CAGCATCTGTGGTTCAGTTTTGTTTTTTCCCAAATTATTGGGATTCAAACAAGGTACAAGAAAGAGAAGCTATGGGAATTCTGTATTCTCTTGCAGAGATGATATATGAATCTGTTTCAGTCAAGTTCTTATAGTGGTTTCTAAATTGGAACTGGTCATGGTGCCATATAACCTTGAGGAAATCAAAATGTATCAAGTTCTTATATATTTTTCTTTCTTTCTCTGCCTTTTCTTGCTTTCATAAATTTGAAGTTCTTGAACTATTTCTTTGAAAACCAACCACTAGTCAATCATGTCATCGGGACAAATAATAGCACTCTATTTCCATATTACATGTTTCCATACGTGTTCAATCATGTTATTTGCGACCAAAAATAAGCGATATAATAACGCATTATTGATTAAACTACATACACATAAGGAAAATATACTAAGTGTTACTTGTTGCTGGACTTCATATTTTACCTCAAGAAGTCATAAATTGTTGTATAGAAGTCATAACAATAAAGAGGAATAGAATAGTCTACTGCAAGATAATTTTTGCATGTGTCCTGCGAACATTATAAGTAACTTAAAGGGTACGTATACTCTGTTATTATACTCAAATTTTAATTCCAATAACACATTCAAAATTAATTTTCATTGATATCCATACATTCCGTGGTTTCCACCATTATTCCTCTTGAAAAGTTTTCAAAAAGTTAAAAATAATCGATCCCAATTGAAGGGAAGCTTTATCAATCCCATAGTTTCTTGAAAATTCCAGTATAACAAAATTAGGCAGTATATCTTAAGTTGCTTTTTGGTTAATGGCCTATATATAGAATATACATTATAATTTGGAGAGAGAAAAAAAAAAATCATAATCAGAGGACAGCAGCCTGCCAATTTTGACAACGTAACATTAAAATGTGGAGCTGTAATTGCGTTAGTCACTAATCAAACAAAGAACTATCATATTGTTCTAATCAGTAGTCCGATCATACTAAAAAGGAATAATGATGATTTCCTAAAGAAGATAACAAAACAAAAACAAGAATAAAGGCCTTTAATCACAATATGCAAGAAACGGATTGGATATACCCAATCTTGCTTTCCTTCTTTCGAAGGCAACCCAATGAGAGAAAGCCTGCTTATGTACTCAAATCAAAGACCGTTTGGCTTACCAGGATATAGATGGTACAATGTCAAACAATATAAAAAGAAAAAGAGTAATAAATAAAGTCCATTGCATTGCTTATGTCAATATGGTGGGATTCAATTGCGTTGTAATGGAAGTAGTACTCCGAGATTTATTTATTTTTAAAGTTCTCTTCTTCGTTCTTGATGTATGTTCTGGAGATAAGATAGACCCGCTCTCCTCCCGTGTTTACCTGATTTCGATATTTATAAGACAATGCCGGAAAGTCGAAAGACCCCCCCATCAAATCAAGGTGGAAATCTAAAAACCCCACTTAGGTTTTGATGGTATTTTGCATTATAAAAAACACTATAAAATAATGTATAAATATTTTTATAGTTGTTAAAGGCATCCTGGTTTCTTCTTTTGTGAATAAACCTGCTACGTATATAGAACAGGGCTTCATAGAAGCCCTACAAACGACACACAAGGCAGGAGGTCGGCATTTTTTATTTGCAATTTTTAATCTCCCATGGGTCCCGCATGGGGCCAACCTCATGTGTCTCTTTTGGAGGGGTTCTGTGTGAACCCCCCCCCCCCCTTTCTCTATACAAATGGTTTTGCCCATTGTGAATCGCTAGCTCCACATGGGAATCAATCAATCCATGCAATATAGATATTAGTCAAACTTTAACAGATTCGGGATACTCTTCTCAACTGATCAAGATGTGCTGAATTTGGAACTGTCCTTTTTATCTATTGGAAAATATCTACAAAGTATAGGACATAGTAAAAAGTTAAATGTGTCAAAAATTATAATGGAACTTGAATTCATGCCTGTTGTAATCCCAAAAATTCAGTGCATGATGCAAAACAGAAACTTTTCGAATTTGTCCCTTCGATTATGCTTGTGTCGAAATTTGACATTGACATTGCATAACTCAAATAAAATTCTAAGCTAGTTGAGGTCAAAATACGAATGCATCTTTTTCCTTTTTTGATGTTAGGTTTTGATACCCAATAAATTTCGGGCCAAAATGTTAAACGTCGGAATATATTTTATAGACCTTAACCGATGAGTGAAATAATTATCAACAACCCAGTTCAAATGCTCTACCCGGCCCATGCATATTACCTCTTGAATGGTTTTAAATCTTGGCCCATTTAACCTTGTTGTTGGTCCATTTAAAGCCTAATGTGACCCTATATATTTATGTGTGTGTGTGTGTGTGTTTCCACCCTAGTCATTTGGGTATGATTTTGTGTAAAAAAACAAGAAGAAACATGGATGCCTTCCTTGTGAAAATCGGCTGCCATTGAGAAAGAATTCTGGCGACTTCATTTTGGCCTCCATCTTGTGTTTCTTCGATTGTTTTCCTCGTGCCTTTGTGGTTTGTAAGTCATCACGTTATCTTGTCCTTTATAGGTGTGATTGAAAAACAATCGAGGTGAATATATTGGTTGTTGGTTGGAACCGTTTGGATTGGTTGTTTGATAGAGAAAGATAACATGAAATTAAGCCAGAGAAACATTGATTTAGCGACCCTTGGAGCAAGCTTATGCAACATTTGATCAGGGCCGGTCCTGTGGCGAGGCCCATGAGGCCTCCGCCTCAAGCCCAAACCGGATGGGGGCCTCATTTTGGCCAATTTTTTTTTTTAAAATTAACGAAGTGAAAGTCGAAAAGCAAACATTATTTTCATCCCCCCTCCTGCAATCCGAGTCACTGCTCCGCCTACGACCGGACGACCAGTACGACGCCGACCTTCGACTTCCAACACTTCAACTCCAACTGGACCAGCGGGGCAGGGACCAGGCGATTATTGATCTTTCATGTAGTGTAGGGTTTTATCTAATTAAAACCCCCCAAATCCCTGAAATCAAAACAAATCCCCAAATCGATTTTTGTTGAAACTTCACTCCAAAACCCCCCAAATCCTTCGAATTTCTTGATTGGTTTCACGAAGCCGGCTGCTCTCTTCTCTTTGGCAGGAGATTGTATCAGTATTACCTTTCCTATTTTTCCATATTGAAATTTAGAATTTTTATCTTAAAATGTCAGTTTAATAAGAATAGTAGTTTGTACATTGATTATTATTTCTATATAAAAATCGTATTAGATTTTATCCTTAATTTCATAACAAGAATCTTATATTCATCACCAGCGCGATCGCCAATTTCATGTTCTGTAATTAGAAATATGCACCTTTTTTTCGCTCTCTCATACAGATGATTTAGATCTCAGGAATTTGAATTCATCTCTGTTACCAAATTTTGACATAAATAATAAATATTATCTGTTTTCTGTTGCTTATCTGTTCTCTAACCATATGCTGATATGCTGATGTACCAAGAATTCAAAAACCTAGTGAAAAAGAAACAGATATATGCTTGATCTAATACTTTGAACAACGCCTTGTCCATAATATGATCAAGGTCTTTAAATGTATGTATTCCACTTTTATGGCTTGATAGGAATTTTTTATTGCTTTGATGCCTGATTTTAAGTTTCGTAGATGGTCGGTTACTCTTGTTTCACTCAACTTTCAAAGTTTTGGGAAAGGGCTTAAAGAAGGGAGCCAAGCACACTGTTACACAAGTTAAATTGAAATCACGATGATTATGTAGGTTTCATTTCGAAGAATATGATCCTATTCAAAAAATTAAAAATTGTTGTCTGCCACTGGTAGTCTGGTATGATCAAAGTGGTTGGAAAGTCTGCAAAGTGTATTGAAACATCTTTATACAATTTAATTTAGGAAGACTAGTTTTTTTAGGATGTGTAATATAAATAATTTGATGATATTGAAAAATTTAGGAATTGATGTTAGCGCAGATGCGATCAAGGTGGTTGCGAAGACTGCAAGAAGAATTGGAACAATGTTAAACGTTTTCTTTCTAGGACGACTGAAATCTTGGTGGAAAGTGTGTGTTTTTTTTTTTTTTGTAAGTTTTAATGTATTTACGTATTGAACCATTATGTGCTTGTAAATTCCATACAAGATAGAGAAAAATGTATTTTAGGAAAAATGGGAATCAAGCACCCCCATAATGTGCATCATTATCCATGAACAATCCCCTTGTTTGTTATTGCTACAGGAAATAAAATTTGAGCCTTCTGTCATGTGTGAATGCCTTGACAAACGAGCTTCATTTCGGTTTAGCCAGGTATTTATTATTATATTGGGCTGTTGAGCATTTGAAGATATTGTCCTATCTTTTTTATTTGCTAATTCCCCACACCTTTGCTTTTCCCCCCTTTCCCTCAGATTGAAGATGGTGACATCATTTGCTTCCAGAAAAAGCCTCTCCCTGAAAGTGAAGAAAATTTGCGATTTCCTGATGTTCCTTCTTTTTTGGAATATGTGAAAAATCGCCAGGTAAATTTTGTACTTTTTATGTGTTACAAGTGTTCGTCTTCATTTTTTCCTCTCTCCTTTCTTTGCTTTTGATGTTTGAAGAAATGGTGCATGCTTTCTAATTTTTGTGGCACAATCAAAGCCTTCTAATTGAACAAAATAAAATAGTCTAACCTAAACACGATGCATATTTTACTTATTTACAATTATATGCCTATGATTGGAATTTATGGAGGAGTGGTATGCTTGATAGAGGCATATACTTGATAACCACCATATCTACAGTGGTTAGCGTCATAATTGTCTGGCTTAATAGATCTGCACTGTAGTTCGGGAACATGGACTAAATTCATACATACTACACTGTAGGTAATATATGTACATTGGGTTTCTTAATTCTTCCTTATTTCTGACATGTTAAGATGTTTAGAGACAGGCCATAGGGGGGTCTCCTTTTAGTTTTTTATATTTTTGGTGGAGGGGATATGATACACTTCCTACACAACAATAAAAATCTCTAAAGGAATAAATAGGTTTAACTTTGAGTTTTAGAGATTAATGCTTAAAAAGATGTGAAGTATATGAATTTGCATTATGCTATCAATTGAACTCAAGCCACAGACCATATGTGGAAAATGAGTGGAGCCATTTTTGTGAAGTCTGGTTACATCTTGCAGTCTCTCAGTCATCACTTGCTTCTGTCCTCTCATCGCAGTCTTGAAGGTGTAACTCCGCAGTGGAATTCTTGAAGGTGTAACTCCGCAGTTTCATCGAAATTCTACTTGTCAGGTAAGCAATGGCTTACCTTAACTTGTTGTTGAAGAAATTAAAAATGTTTGAAGCCTTGTCGGCTTATATGATTGTGGCCTGGTCGGCTTATATGATTGATTATTAGAGGATCAACAATTGCACAGGCGCACATAATAACTATATTGAAAACTCTAATTGTGTGATGATTTGAGATATTTTGTAATTATTTTTTAGGTTAATCATTGGGCATCAGATATAGGCTCATACACCATGCCTCGTAAATATGAGTCTGGTGCTCAAAAGAGAAAAAGGAAACGAAATAAAATTTCATTAATTCAAAGTCAAGCAGGGGATATTGGCAAGTACTTTAAAAGTAACAATGTGAATACGTTGAATGAGGATGAAGTAGATATTCAACCTGCATGTGTTAATGAAGTAGATGATAAAGATGAAGAAGTTAGTCAACCTGCCTACGTTAATGTAGTAGATGATAAGGAAGAAGAGGTGATAAAACCTGCATGTGTTAATGAAGTAGATGACAAGGAAGAAGAGGGTTGCTTTTCTCTAAATTTGGATGATCCCGGGAATTGGAAAATCATTGATCAGAGAACAAGGGATTACTTAGTTGAAAGGGGTCCAAAAAGAGTTGATGACATCTCATTTCCGAAAGATTGTACAAATAGGCATTTTGATTCTTCACAACATAAGCGATTGTTACGAAATGGGCAAATAATTGATAGAAGATGGCTAGTATATTCAATATCTATGGACAGGATCTTTTGCTTTTGTTGCAAGTTGTTTAAAACACCCAAAAATGTTGCCAGAGTTGGCCAACTTGGTAACGATGGATTCAAAGATTGGCATAATTTGCATCGATCTATTAAAAGTTATGAAGGAAATGAAGAGCATTTATGTTGCGTGACTAGCTGGATTGAATTGGAAAATAGGCTTCGAACAAAAACTACAATTGATAAAAGCGTTGGATTGTTGATCGATGCAGAAAGAGAACATTGGAGGCATGTATTAACAAGGATAATCGCTATTGTAAAAAGACTCGCCAAAAATAGCTTGCCATTTCGAGGAGATGATGAGAGGCTAAATGTTGAGAACAATGGTCTGTTTTTACAAATGGTGGAAATGATTAGTGAATTTGATCCAATAATGAAAGAGCACCTTTGGTGGGCTAATGCAAAAGAGATTCAATATACGTATCTTAGCAAAAAAATCCAAAATGAGTTGATACAGTTGTTAGCTAATGAGGTGAAAAGTGCAATTGTCAAGAAAATTAAACATGCAAAATATTTTGCAGTTATACTTTATTGTACTCCAGATGCAAGTCAGGAGGAGCAGATGTCGTTAATAGTACGATTTGTAGATGATTCGGCAAACTTACCTATAGTTGAAGAACATTGGCTTGAATTTTTGAAGGTAGATGACACAACAGGACTTGGACTTACAACCGAGCTTCAAAAGGCTTTGATCAAACTCGATTTGGATATTGATGACATTAGAGGGCAAGGGTATGATAACGGATCTAACATGAGTGGAAAGCACAAAGGTGTGCAAAGAAGAATACATGAAATAAATCCCCGAGCTTTCTATACTCCATGTGGTGCTCATAGTCTAAATCTAGCGTTATGTGATATGGTGAATTGTTGTTCCAAAGCTGTATCCTGCTTTGGAGTGATACAACGCATCTACACTTTGTTTTCATCTTCTATCAAGCGATGGCAAATTTTTAAAGATAATGTAAAAGGGTTGACAGTGAAATCGTTGTCACAAACACGTTGGGAAAGTCATGTTGAGAGTGTGAAGCCTATAATGGAGCAAACTGCACAGATAAGAGAAGCATTACTTGATTTGGCAGAAACTAACGAAGATCCTAAAGTAAATAGTGAAGCCGAGTCGTTGGCAACACATGAATTTCAGAATTTTGAGTTCTTGCTTGGCATGGTAATCTGGTACAGGTTGTTGCATGCAGTTAATATTGTGAGTAAATTTCTTCAAACTGAATCCATGGATATTGATCATGCTATCGACCTATTGCCAGGACTTGTTTCATTTCTTGAAGATTATAGAGAATCTGGATTTGCCATTGCCATGGATGAAGCGACAAAAAAGGCAAACGAAATGGAAATTGAAGCTGTATTTACAGAAAAACGCATAATTCGAAGAAAAAAACAATTTGATGAAAACTGTAGTAATGAGGTAAAGCAATCAGCAGAAGAATCATTTAGAGTTGAGTACTTTGTTTTTATAATTGATCAAACTCTATCTTCTCTGAGAACTCGATTTGAGTAATTCAAACAATATGATGATATATTTGGATTTTTGTTTAATTTGAAGAGGTTAAGGAGTGCAACTTCATCAAGTTTGTTGAAATCTTGTATGAATCTTGAGAAATATCTTGAACAGAATGGGCTTTCGGATATCAGTGGAGATGATTTATGTTCGAAGTTACAAGTTTTGAAGATTTATTTATCAAATGAAGCAACAAGAGCAATTGAATTGCTACACTATTTGAAGACATTGGATGTTTGTTTCCCAAATGCTTATATTGCTTAAAAAATTTTGTTAACTGTACCGGTTACAGTTGCATCTGCGGAAAGAAGTTTCTCCGAATTGAAGTTGATCAAGACCTATCTCCGATCAACTATGTCACAAGAAAGATTCAATGGGTTGGCTATGTTATCAATAGAAAAAGAAATGGTTGAGTAGCTAAGATATTCAGATTTGATTGATGTTTTTGCCTCTAAAACAGCAAGACAAATAGTATTTAACTAATTGTTTGAAATTTTTGGTTTGATGGTTTATAATATAAATCGTTTCTATAATATTTTTCGTTGTTGTTTTAATGTTAGTTTTTTAAGTTAGCAATGAGTCGCATAATACACCTTTGAATTTTGTCGCTGGAGGGGCCTAATTTTCATCGTCCGCCTCAGGGCCCATCAAATACAGGACCGGCTCTGCATTTGATATTATATTTCTTGTAGAAAACCAAAAATTAAAGAATTATTATATTATATGCTCACGTGTGTGATAAAAAATATCATGGAAATAACAATAAATAATTGTGTCCTTTGGTGATGCATCAAATTGCAATGATATGATGGTGATGATGACCATAGTGGTGGTGGTAGAGGTCATCATTAAGCGTGAATGCTGGAGCCAACATAAGTTTTTTGAGTGACAATGTTGATTAAATTTCATAATTGGTTCCTTAATTTCAAATTTAATTTATTACTTAAAATTAAAAAGATTATGAAAAATGTAAAGGCAAATTTTTAGCTTAATCAGGTTGAACAATTAACCACACGATGGAGAAGCATTGATTATTTTAGATTTAATAGAAGTTAGCATAATTTGCTTTGACGGCAGTAGTAGTTGCTATTGGGTAACATCATCGCAAATAACTTGTTACTTTCAGTCTTAGGGATGTCGGTGGGTCAGGTTTGGCCCTGGCCCACTTTTTTTCTTTTTTCAAATTATGCTATTATTAGAGAACAAAATAAAAATTCAAAATTTTAAAATTCAAAGCAAATAATGCTCAAATTAACAAAGTTTTTTTTTTTTCCCTTCTTCATGGGATGGGTTCGGGGCAGGGAGACCCCAAGGCGGGGCGAGTTTTTTTGCCATCTCAACATAGTCTTGTATCAAACTGAGTCGAGAGATTCATGTAGTCAACCTTAAATGTATTACGAATAAAAGTCTAGTTCGTTATCGTATCTCTCTAATACGTGAAAACAAGAGCATGGTTCCCAAATGATGAGGAATAAGAAACAAACAATTGCTAGATGAAACAAGTTGGAGGAGGAAAAATCATTCCCAAAGTGCTTATGATATGCATTAAATTTAGGGGGATGTCCTCAATTGAAATTGCAATGGATTTTAAAAGTCATTCTAAATTTAGATATTTTCAATTGAGATTTTATTGGATCTTAATTAAATTCATTAAAATTTAGGTGTCCCTAATTGAAATTTTAATGAAATCCTTTAAAATTTAGGTATCCTCAACAATTAGTGAATTTATAAAGATTTCATTAATAGAAAGATTTTAAAGATTTGGATGGATTTTAAGTTTAAAAATACATATAAGTAAATCTTTTGAAATTTCACCATATTTGATAAGATTCTTATGAAATTTGTAAGAATCTATTTAAATCCACCAAATTCATTAGAATTTATAATCATTTAAAATTTATTAAAATCTTAATTGAGCACACCCCTGTTAAGCAGAAGTACGTGCATCAGCAAGTCCACCATTATTAAAGAGTCCATAAGCACAACTCCCATCTTCTCAACCAACAACTCCAACAGAAGAAGTAAAGATCGACTTCAATTGAACAAGCACAATATCATAAAAGACACGAGGCTGTTGAACTCATTTAGAGACCTTACAAAAGTAACTCAAAAATGCTGAAACCAAACCATATTACTTCCTCTTGTAATAGCCTCTACTGTTTACCCAACACGTCGACCTTATAAAATACATTAATGGGTTGAATTTATTGCACTAATCAAATCGAATAAATAACAGTATCAGCACCCCCTCATATCCTCCTTAATTACTAGTATCTAGCTGATTAATATTATTTTTCCAAGTGTTCACTTCACTAGTAGCCTTTCAGTCTCAATTTCCACCCGAAGATTATGACTTGCTAGATCTTAGAAATTGGTCATTCACCAATTTCTCCACTACCAACTTTGGTTGGACACCTATCACATTATGATTCTAAAATAGGACAATAGACCGTTTTTTTTCGATTTCCCTTATGTCGTGAATCGTCAAAGTCATTGTTTTCTTACTCTCCTTTGCGTTATAGAAATCATATCATGTCAAGACTAATTAGATTATGGCAGGTTTTAACAACTACCTTATTAAATATTTTATATCAGTTAGCTAGTTAGGATACAAATTTGGGAAAATTTCAGCAGCGGTCCATAACCTTTTTCAGTTTTTGCATACTTTATCATAATTTTCATTTTGTGCCGCGGAGGTTCTGAACCTTTCATAAATATGTACCTGAGGGTCATTTGGACAGAAGCTATCCAAACACCGTTATTTGATTAGGAGAATTAAGGAATCAACATCCAATAAAACCATCTAAAACATCATCCAAAATCACTGTCGAAAAAGTATCAACATCCAATAAAATCGTCGCAGTACCAGATAGTTCAAGAAAATTTTCAGGTCAACTGACGGTGTTTTGAACACTTTCCTTCTAGATGAACCTTAGGTGCACATTTATGAAAGGTTAGAGACCTTTGCTAGTACAAAATAGAGGTTAGGGTAAAATTTGGAAAAAATAAAAAGGTTTAGGACCACTGCTGCAATTTTCCCTACAAATTTAGTAATTTTAGAATATCAATTCAATCTTTAAACCTTTTAATTCAAATCAATCTTTCATCTTTTGAGTTACATTGGTTGTAATTTTTGGTTATACAAGCGTATGAGATTTGATACGTTGTGGTTACATGGAGTTAGAGAGAGTTTATTAGTAATATTACATTGAGCTACAATGATTATAGTTTTCCAGTGAATTCATTTTTGCAAAACATCTTACATTGGTTTACATTTACTAGACTATTACGTTGCGTTACAATTAGTGTCATTGTCGAATATAGCAAGGATTGTATGCTTATAAGGACTGAATATCACATTGAGTTATGCGATTGTAATATTACATTGAGCTACATGGTTGTAACAAATAGTGATCTTATTTTTGGCGAAGCATCCTACCATTGGTTTACATTAACAGAAATATTACGGTTAATGTAATTTCCAGTGATATTATATGTTTTTCGACCTTCATATTGTGAAAAATGTAACTCTACTTATTTAGAACTCAACATCGGTGTTAAGATTTAGAACGCATAACATCTAATATGCTGAATATTTGCTGTACATGCAACTTCTACATAACCATCTAAACAATGGTGCTAGAAATAGTACTTATTAACCAGGGAAGCATCTCAACTGTTAACTTACATCATTTTATAATTGAATAAAGCCACTTGTACAAGTTGATTGACAACAAGTGTGTTAAAAAAATATTGACCATTGATTTTAAAAAGAGTTTTTCAAACAAATGGATGCGATGTTTATCAACTGTTGGGCATGTTTGGTAAGTGATGCCCAAATCCCCTAGGCTATAATTCGAGGCCCATATAACTTCATAGGCTATAAGCCCAAGATTGAAGAATTAAATCCACATCACAATTGAAGTAGCCCAATTATGTTGGGTATTTAGAGGTAATCAGCTCATTGAACTAAATACTCAATACCCAACTTGGAGGTAATTTAAAAATCACATGAAAGATAGATAAATATTAAAGTTATCCCTTTTAACCATTTAATCCCCTTTTTGGTTGAACTTTATCTTTCAATTTTGATATAATCTTGCAATTTTGATTTAGCCTAATCCTTGCAAGATTTTGGGGAAATCCCGTTTTTTGTGAAGTCTATAAATTGAAGACTCTTCTCTTCATTTGAACTCACCTCAAGAACGAGAAAAAACTCTCTACTTTGTGCAAAAACAAAAACCTCCTCTGCCTTTCTTTGTAACTAATTATGACCTTCAAATTGGAGATACATTTGGTGGTGTGGATCAAGTTTCTGAGTCGAATCAAAAAGGGGAAAATCGTTCCCTTTTTTTTTTTTTAGTTTTTTGGTCTTGTTTTTATTGAAGTTAATCTTTCCAAATCATACATTAATTGGTTATTTTGTTTGATTTATAGGTGGGTTAACTTCACAATTGGTATCAGAGCTTGGTGGTGGTGAAAATCTGGCCAAAAACCGACTAGAAACCTGCAGAAGAACAGAAAAAACGGACTGCCCAGTTTTGCGCTAAAAAACTGAACCTGCAACGCATTTTCCCATCAATCCAAAAGTCCATTGGTGAAACGAATACCAGAGTTGAGACGTGCAGGTGAAGGCGGTTTTGGGTGTTCGGTGTGTAATCTCGACGGCAGTGCGTGAGGGTGCGTGAGGCAATTCTGGAGAAGTTGTCTTCAGGCAGTTTGTTCCTCTCGTCATTTCTAACATTTTTCATGTTTGAAGTTTTCTGTTTCAGGATACGTAGAAAAAATTGGACGATTTTGCCCTTGGTGGATCAACGGTCGAAATTGCCATATATATACTGAATTACTTTAGGCCAAAAAATTGTGGCCTAAAGCAGTAAATTCGCATCTCTCGTAATTTACGGACTCAGATAAGTCCGCTCTGATAAATTGGCTGAAACTTTACATTACCACACTAGTAGATCATCGTGTGGGGTGATCATTAGAATTGGGGGTTGTCA